ATTTTTTAAGGAAACGCTCTCCGATTGCCACGGACACTGGACACTGCTGGGGTGTCCCCCTGTTACCTAGCACCTAGATTTCCTGTAAGATAGGGGACTATATACTGTGTACTACAAATGATGGCCTTGGTACTGACACTTTCGTGCAGGCAAAAATCCCACTGAAAACAAGCAGACCTCCTTATGCTGTCCAGTATCAGAGATCTCTGACTCACATTTCTGGTGAGGCTGTAGCAACAGCAATTGCAAAATCGGACTGATGAAGCTCCCTGTGGTGTCTAAAACGCTGTTTCTGCTGGAATTTTGCCTTCCGTTCCAGTGGGACAGGCCCCCGACGCTGGAGCTGTTTGATTGGCACAGCAGCAGGGGCAGGCATGGAACGGCCGGGGAGGCCGTTGCGGGAACAGAGACGGGGAGCCCTGCACACGCCCACCCGGGACGGCTGCATTCCAGCTGTCTGCGTCCGCATTACGTGCAGAGCAGTTTTCTTCCCCATCCTTCACAGCGGCACTTCTTCAGGAATAAGTTGTTTTCTCTATATTTTCGTTATTAAGTGCCTCTTCCCCTAGGGATGGTGCTGGATTAGGTTGGGAACTGAATCAAAAGAGGTTGTTAAGATGCTGGAGCATCTATCGTATGAGGAAGGACTAAGTGAGTGGGGCCTGTTTAGTCTGAAGAACAGAAGATTGAGAGGGATCTGATCAGCATGTACAAGTACCTGAGGGGAGAGTGTAGGCAGGATGGGCCCAAATGCTTCTTAGTGGTGGCCAGTGACAGGACAAGGGGTCATGGGTGCAAGCTGAAACTCAGGAAGTTCCATCTCCATGCGAGAAAGAACTTCTTTCCTGTGAGGGTGCCAGGGCCCTGGTACAGGCTGCCCCGAGAGGCCGTGGTGTCTCCTGCTCTGGAGATCTTCAAAACCTGCCTTGTAAACACTTGACACAAAGGAGAGAGGGAATTGTGCCTCTCGCTTTCTGCCCTGCATTTACAGAGCAGAACCAAAACAAAATGATAACAGTGGGAAGTGCCTGTTCAGTCCGAATGCCCATTGAGAGACGCCAAGGACAAGGTATTTTATAAACACTGTGCCGGTTTTGGACACTCTTCCCGTTGTTTTGTGGCCACAAGAATTCAGAACCTATGCAAATCAGATCGCATGGCCACGAGATGAGGAAGGCAAGTCAGCAGTTGTATAAGAAAACGCTCAAAGCACTGGAGAGAGAGTGGCCTCCAAGGAGGCTGGTCGGCTGATGCTCCCTCCAGAACCCATTCCCTGAATCTGCCCCGGCTCCAAAACAAGCTGTTCTGATCAACTGGGTGAGATGTCCATAGAGCTGCTCCGTTGGGCCAGGCCTGCCCCAGCTATCCCCGCACACTCGCTGCTCTTCCCGGGAGGACAGGGAGGCCCCTCCAGGCTGTTGGCACCTGTAGGATACCTGCTCCTGAAATTTGTCTGAAATTTGTCTGCTTCGAGAACGCGCCATTGCTGAAAAACATTTTGAAGCAGCCAGTGGTGACACCCGTTCTGATGCAGTGGTTTCCATCATGCTGGAGCTGCATGGCTGCCACCTCATATGTTGGTAAATACTAGAAAAAAACTACTTGTTCACTTGCTTTAAAAAAAATAATGAAGATCCAAATAGCTTTTAAAACAACGTTTAAAATAGAAGTCAGTACATTTGGAAATGGGAATTTCATGTCATTTGTTTCCAAAGACCATGGAGAAATGGAGCCAGCCTGTGAGTGTTTCATAGGCCGGCGGTCCTTGGTGTTCCCATGTAGGTCATTTGGCTGCTGCTCCTGTACTGAACAGTGGCTGTCGGTGCAACCTGCGAGCGAGCTGCGAGAGTCACACAGCAAGGTTGAAGCTTTCTGTCCCGATGGATGAGGTTGGGGTATCTTTTTTAAGTTTTGTTTTCCAGGCAAATGATCTACACAGTATAACCAAAGCCACAGTTAACCTCGAGCCAATCCATGCGGGAGACGGCAGGCTCCCAGAACAGGCCTGTCTGGGGACTCGGCCCCCCTCGGAGCCGTGTTCGGGCGGGATTATCGCCTCAGCGCGCGCCATGCGCGCGGGCTGCCCGCTGGCACCGCCGTGAAGGGCTCAGCCGGCGCCGCCGCGGGCGGACAACCGGGCCCACGAGGCCCTGGTGCCGCGCAACCTCTGTCCGCCGTTATTCCGCCCGTTACTTCC